TGGCCATAACTTTTGAAGAGTAGATACCAGATCATTTATACTTCACATATATATTCTTTGTGGTAAGACCTTCCATTGGATACCACCAACTTTGACCTTTTGATCTTGACCTTCGAGATTACTAATGAAAAAACTTTAACCTTGGCAATTACTTTTGAACTGTAAGGGTTAGAGCTTTCATACTTCAAATATGTAATCCTTTTAAGAAGACGCTTCAAGATACCAAGAGCTTTGACCTTGGAGTTTGGCCTATTTTGTAAAAAGTTTAACAAAAAACAAACCTTGATCATATCTTCTAAAGGGTTAGAGCTAGTGCCTTTATACTTTATTTTTTTAATCCTTGTGACAAGACCTTTCATTTGAAAGCAAGACCTTTGATTCTTTGACCTTGACCTTAGAGTTTGACCTACTTATAAAAAAATTAACCTTGGCCATAACTTTGAACGGTTAGGTCTAGAGCTTCCATACTTTACATATGTATTCTTTGTGACAGGAGCATTTATTGGATACCAATAACCTTGACCTTGACTTTGTAGATTTCCGAACTTATGAAAAAACATTAACCTTGGCAATAACTTTTTAACGGTTAGGGCTTGGGCTTCCATACTTCACATATGTAATTCTTGTGACAAGACCTTTCATTCAATACCAATAACCTTGACCTTCAGATCTTGATCTGGGAGTTGAACCTACTTTAAAAATGTTTTTGTCATTGGCCATACCATTTGAATAATTAGAGCTAAGGTTTCCATACTTCACACATGTGTTCTTAGTTGAAAAACCTTTCATTGGATACCAATAACATTGACCTTCTGAACTTGATCTTGAAGATTTCTGTACTTATGCAAAAACTTTAGCCTGGCCATAACTTAGGAACAGATGGTGAAAGGGCTTTCATGTTTCACAAGTGTATTTCCAGTTAGGAAACCCTACTTTGGGTACCAATATTATTAAATTTGCATTTAAGAAAAGCTTAATCTTCACTATGTTGCCTTACGGGGGCATCAGTGTTTCACAAACACATCTTGTTTTTTCTTTTTTTTTTCTTGTCTTTTTTTTTTGTCTTTACGGAATTTAAGGATAGAAAAAATCTAACCCTTTTTCTTAACCTGTTGACAGATTGTCACAAGTATACTTACACAAGCAGTAACTGTTGGGTTCGCTTATATAACTCACTAGAAGATAAAGAATAAAAAATCGTAAGCTTCATCATATCAACATAAAAATGGAAATAACCATTGTTTATTGACAATACATCGTCAATATATCTAAATGTCGTGATGAAGATCACAAAACTTGCTTTTTTTCTTTTCCCGTCTAAGTTTTGAACAAATTCTGCTTCATATGCATGTAAAAATAGATATGCTGATAAAGGGGCTATCTATTGTGGGAAATGGTTGCATATAAAGTTGAAACGACTCTATTTATATGTTGCTGATTTTAATAAAAAAAAATTATTTTACAATATTAAAAATATTCAAAATTGACATCTGATTTTGAAGAATTTATCCATTTGAAAGGGAGCTATGGGAATAAGTTGGATTACCACTTGTAGAATTAAATCCAAGTTCCTCTTAAAGAAGTTCAATCATTGAAATTGTATTAATTTTTTTGGTAAAGGAAGTGAGATGGTTAAATATTATGTTTGTTCTGCTGCTGGGACAAGGGATGTGTCTTTCGTTGGGCAATTTGTTAGGAGAGATCGCCAAGTTTCAGCGAAATAGTTAAATATCTTAACAATAGTATGATTATTAAATCCCTATTATATCGTTAACTTTAGATTTTAAACATTTCAGATATGACAAGAGGGTGTCTATACGAAATATCCATATCGGGTAAACGTCATTCTTGAGAGAGAGGACTAGGGTTGTGATGGTCGACATGCACATTCTGGGAAAGATATCTTTAAATTACACCCGTACTATTTTCAAAATTTGGCAACTTCTGAAAAAATTATGGACTGTTTTTGTTACAGAAATTAATTTGCATTGCTAGAAATATTAAACTCGGGAGAATGTGTAAGATTATGTGATCAGAATGCTGCGGAGCAAGTTACGTGACCGCCTGATCACTTGATTTGCGCATGGACAGAACGGTGGCAGATGTGCTGTAAAATTGAATATTAAAGAGGACGAATTAAATATAATAAACCTAATTTTACTTCTTTATAGAAGTTACTCAATTATTTCACTAACTTTATGATCACCCCTCGTAATTTGATAACTTAATAATTATCAGATTATACAAATAATTGAGTCATGCAGGCCAATCTTGAATGTTACTTGCATGACTCTGTAAATATTTCCGTTTTTAGCTCACCTGAGCCGAAGGCTCAAGTGAGCTTTTCTGATCAAAATTTGTCCGTCGTCTGTCGTCGTCGTCGTTGTTGTCGTTGTCGTAAACTTTTCACATTTTCATCTTCTCCTCAAGAACCACTGGGCCAATTTCAACCAAACTTGGCACAGAGTATCCTTGGGTAAAGGGAATTCAAGTTTGTTCAAATGAAGGGCCATGCCCTTTTCCAAGGGGAGATAATCATGAATTTGTTAAAAATTAATGGCATTTTTAAAAAATCTTCTTCTCCAGAACCGCTGGGCCAGGAAAGATGAAACTCAAGTGGAAGCATTCTCAGGTAGTGCAGATTCAAGTTTGTTCAAATCATGACCCCCGGGGCAAGGGTGGGGCCAAAATGGCCGACCCAAGTTTTACATAGAAATATATAGAAAAAATCTTTAAAAATCTTCTTCTCCAGAACCATTGGGCCAGGAAAGATGAAACTCATGTGGAATCATCCTCAGGTAGTGTAGATTCAAGTTTGTTCAAATCATGACCCCCGGGGCAAGGGTGGGGCCAAAATGGCCGACCCAAGTTTTACATAGGAATATATAGGAAAAATCTTTAAAAATCTTCTTCTCCTGAACCACTAGGCCAGGAAAGATGAAACTCATGTGGAATCATCCTCAGGTAGTGTAGATTCAAGATTCTTCAAATCATGACCCCCAGGGCAAGGGTGGGGCCAAAATGGCCGACCCAAGTTTTAGATAAGAATATATAGGAAAAAACTTTAAAAATCTTCTTCTCCTGAACCACTAGGCCAGGAAAGATGAAACTCATGTGGAATCATCCTCAGGTAGTGTAGATTCAAGTTTATTCAAATCATGACCCCTGGTGCAAGAGTGGGGCCAAAATGGCCGACCCCTTGTTTTACATAGGAATATATAGGAAAAATCTTTAAACATCTTCTTCTCCAGAACCACTGGGCCAGGAAAGATGAAACTCATGTGGAAGCATCCTCAGGTAGTGTTGATTCAAGTTTGTTCAAATCATGACCCCTGGGGCAAGGGTGGGGCCAAAATGGCCGACCCTTGTTTTACATAGGAATATATTAGAAAAATCTTTTAAAAGTCTTCTTCTCGAGAACCACTGGGCCAGGAAAGATGAAACTCAAGTGGAATCATCCTCAGGTAGTGTAGATTCAAGTTTGTTCAAATCATGACCCCCGGGGCTAGGGTGGGGCCAAAATGGCCGACCCAAATTTTACATAGGGATATATAGGGAAACCTTTTAAAATCTTCTTTTCAAGTACTTCAAAGCTATGATTAGTGATATTTATATGGAATCATCCTCAGGTAGTGTAGATTCTTATTTGTTCAAATGATGAACGCCTGGAGGGGGGGGGGATAAATTCAAGCCCGATGTGCTCAGGTGAGCGCTGTGGCCCCTGGGCCTCTTGTTTGCAAGGGAACCGGGACTATATTTTTTGGCGTCAGATTAGCAAATGAGGCACCAGCATGATTTAAATGACCAATCAGCTGAATGAGTATTGCATTATGGGTTACTATGAATACTGCAGGAATTTTACGCTTGAAAAAAAAGAAAATCTTATGGTAAATGAAAAGCACTTATAATGACAAACAATTCATTTGTTAAATAAACGGCGGAAGTCTAGGTTCCTGAAAGTTATACTGCAAAAGCGATTTGCGTCTGTATTAATTCCTTTGTTGTACTATCGGTGAATACAATTGCCAGGTGAATTCCCTGGCCGAACACGTGATCACGAACGTAAACAAAGTTTTGTCCATTTAAATGCATAAGAGATGCTGCTCGTTTTCTTACCCTTGAAGCGCTGGTGTTCTAAACTAGAGACAAACTACATTTTATTAAACACTTTTTCAATTTAACAACAAATTAAAAACGCCCGTAACATCTTTTATAGTTTCTAATCTTTGTAATTTGTTCGTTATTTTGCCATCCATTAACATGATCGTAGATTGACCTGTACGTGTTCGAAGTAAAATGTAAACATGTATTTGGCGTAAACGTTGCTATTCAGTCAACGATTGGTCAGTTGCTCGTGGTAAGATCCTCTGTGCGCATTTATAACAATAGCCATATAAGGCAAACAAAGGTTTGTCAGTGTCGATGATAAGCACATTTTTACCAGCGAATCGGTCACTAGTAAGCTTTAATTTTCGCCGAAAAGTATAAGATATATTGTTATTTTTAACATCCCTTCCTTTAGCCACCCTTTGTCAGTTGAAAATCATGAAAGTCTTTCAGAAAGGTCTGGAAACATTTATTACAGGACATGTTTTCAAAAGAAACAGGCTATAGCAATATCATGTTTACTGCCAATTTTATTTATAAAACCGGTTCTACCCTATAACCTTTGAATAGATCAACCTAAACCACGTGTCTTGAATTTAAATCACAATAACATTAGTAGGGGTGATATAGAATTATCCGTTCTTTTATAGATAGACAGAGCCCAGAATTTGCAGCTGTCAATTTGTATTGATTTATTGGGATTTTTAGCTGTCTGTACATTGTATGCATCCAACTGTAATGCTCGTTACATATACATTTGGAGTTTCTTGACATATATTAAAAAAAAATTCCCGTTTTGTTCCTTGATTTTGACACTTTATCAAAAAAGTAAAGATTTGGAATTATATACATCGTACAACAACAAAACAAGGATTGACTTTCGGAAATATTCTTTATTTTACTTTCCATCCCTTAAAACTAGACCATTCATTATACAAGTAATTTGCATGAGTAGTCCTTATGTTCACCTTGTCTCCAGTTTTCAGAATCAAGGGTACCGTATTTGCACAATTTCCATAACCTGGATTGGCTTCATTGTTACAGTTTCCGTACCCTTTGTTGACTCCATTTACAAGAATATGAGCATTAAAAAGTTTTCGTGCAGAAACAAGACTTGTCCAAGAAAACACGTAGAGTCCGCCAGAGGGGGCTGTAAAGAATCCACTATGAGGATTGTAGGCATTTCCATAGTTGTAATAAACACCATCGTATACAACATTGACGGGAGTGTATTTATGTAGATGCAATAGCTTGGTTGTGTACGCATTGAATGCAATTAACGATTTTTCTGCAAGAAAAAAATCCAACGAAAAAAAATGAAAATAAATAACAACACAGTCAACAAGATGAAAGTTTTTGCCACATTTTGATTAAATTTCATTTGTTACTAAGTAAGCTTTGAGTACGTTTTAAAATAAAAAAAAATCCGATACACACAGAATTGATATTGCTACTGCGTTAATCTTTTTTCAGCAAAACTTCGAAATGATAAAAATTTATTTAATTTATTGCGTACCACTACTTTCTTGATTTGGACTCTTTAAACATCGATAGCTGATCTCTAGATATTTGGAGTACTTAGGACACGGGTCTCCAAAATTTTGATTAGAAGCATGAAGATGACAGGTCTGGTACCCATTACAGTTCCATTTCACCTTGAGTTCTGACTTCTTTGATCGACAAGTTTGTGAACTACAGTTCCTTTTAGGACAGACTTGTGAATCTGTTCGTCCGTAGTTGGCAGACACAATCTGAATTTTCGTTCCTTGCAAACAGCGTATGAAGCCCTTGTGACCCTCGCACAATGCAAAAGACTGGTCTGAGAAAATTGGTTGAATGTTTAAAAACTAAATTTAGTATACTGTATTTTAAATTGAAGCTATCGTTACAAATATATTTAAGAGTACCTGACGTTTTCACCTCTCTTGTCATTGCCACAAGAAGTACAATGCATACGTGGTAGAGATATTTCATCTTTGTCTTCTCTTCTAATTAAAAAAAATATGATATTCTTAATCATTTAGCATAAAAGATTATAAATAATAACTTTATATGCAAATGATCATATAATCTTAATAAATGGACAATAAAGGTTTCAATATTTACAATTTGTCAAACAAAATCTGTGTGGGCGTCAACAAATTGATAATTTGCTTTTACATTATTTTATAACATTTGTCATCATACAAAAGGGAATTATAATTTAGCTTATTAAGATGAATTCTGTAGATTTATGAAACTATAAAATAAGTGTAGAAAAGGTAGGATTTCCAAAGAATTTTGAAACAAATATATATACACGTAAGCTACATCAAGATACATGAAAACCCCGTTAAATGTATTTTACTATGAATGCAGTTGAGTGATCTGACCTCAGAAAATAAGATATATGGTTATTTACAGTTAATTACACAATTCTGAATAGATTAAAATATTCTTAGCATGATAGTAGACCAAGAATAAGTAATGTATTCATTATTTCCATTTATTTTCTAAGTGTAAAGCAACTTTGAATTCTGCTCAAGAATAGTCCATTGTTTTTAAACAAATGTCATGCAAAAATAACCAACAATACATATAAATTCTTAATTAGTCCACATTATTTAGAGCGTTTGTCCAGTTCGTTGCAAATTTGAATACCAATGCGCTAGGTGGAAACCAGTGCTTCGTATGAGACTATATAAAGCGAAGTTTCATGTCGCAGAATGAAGACCCCTCACTGCTCAATGGTCCTGAGTGGTGAGTATTAGTATAAAACTTGCAGCCCTCCGGTTGCAATTGATGGCTTCTCAATTTGAGTGAAAAAATTACGGAAAGAAACGTTAAACATATAAACATGTATTTTAAAAGCTGAACACGACTCGTAAATAGGCATAGACCATTTCCCATATGATTATCTACGATACTTCAACACATGAGGCCTGTTCAACAGAGCTAACGTTTGCGAGCGCTCGCAAAAAATCCTTGTACTCTCAATAGATATGTTCGCGAGCTGTTGAACGGGCCTCAGGGGTCGTCTGCGTAGCGCAGTGGTTAGAGCGTTTGCTCTAGAGTCGCAAAGTAAGGAGTTGATCCGGGTTCGAATCCCAATGCAGGACGTGGAGACCGGTCTTTCGGATGAAACCGTATAAATCGAGGTCCCGTGTCGCAGTAGGTGCTGGCACGAAAAAAGATTCCTCCCTGCTCATTCTGTTCTTTCAAAATTGTAAATCAGTTACATAAAAAACAGGTGTGTTGCTTTGAGACCAGTTTTGTTTATTTTAGGTCGTTAAGGAGGGGGTAAATCCAGAAAAAGGAGCGAGCTTACCTTCGGATGTGTTTCCATAGATTGTCTTTCTCTGAAACAGAGGTTATGGGTACATTTATACAGTATCTGCCGTACAAAGTGTTGTGTAAGTATATTTGGTTTGCGACAGATTTCAGCATTGTAAATTATTCTAAAAACTCTTCATGTTATTTACTGGTATTTGTAGACAACAGTTCGCAGATTTGAAGTATCATAAGTTTGCAAGACTAGTTACCGTCATAAAGCTTCGGTACCAACTGCGCTTCGTTATTAGGAGACCTATTTTTTTTCATGTGAAACAGAATTTGTGCAAAATCTCATGCGTGAAAAGAAGAAAACATTTGCTGTGGCCTTACACTCGAAATTTAGATATATCGACGACCTATTGTCAATTAACAATAGTAATTTCCATTCCGTTGTTGATATTATATATCCTGGTGAGGTTGAGATTAAAGATACCAAAGAGTCGGACACATATGTTTCCTACTTGGATATTTTAATTGAAAAAGACGTTAATGGTAATCGAACAACCAAGCTTTATGATAAACGTGATGAATTTAACTTTTCTATCGTCAACTTCCCTTACTTATGCAGCAATATACCTTCATCACCGGCATACGGAGTTTATATATCTCAGCTGATTCGATACGCAAGAGCATGCTGTAAGTAAGAACAATTTCTTAAACGAGGTAAATTATTGACAAATAAGTTCATGAAACGAGAATAGCAGCAGTCTCGATAAAAGTCGTCATTTCGTAAGTTCTATGGTCGATACGATGACCTTGTCAGCTAATACAATTTATCATTGAGTCAAATGCTGACTGACGTTTTTCATACTAATTGTTAGTCCATTATCTATACACTGAAATAACGTCGAATTTTTCTGTTATTTCCCGATCATGACACGGAGCACACGGCGGGTGTGACCGGTCGGCAGAGGATGGTCACTCCTCCATGGCACCTAATCCCACCTCTAATGTTTTGGAGGTCCATGCTTGCTCTCCTCCTATTTTGTAGGATTTTGGTATTGAATACTGTTCGTTATCTCCATATCCTTCAAGCAAAGTCGTCATTTATCACATTGTCATGAGTTCTTTTTGGATGACTGAGCGCTTCAGTTTTTCCATTGTCGTCTGTGCTTATGCTGTTTGTTTCTTCACTAATTAGAAACAAATTTGTGCGAATTACTGATGCTGATTAAAAACCGCATTGGCCCTGTGTAACTCAACATTCATTGATATCCGAAACTTAATGTTGTCATGATAAAGTTAGGAACAACACTTTTCCACCAAATTAAATGAACATTGTTCCCGAAATTGAAATGTAAGGGGGTAAGAATATCTTTTTACCATCCGGCGGCTGCTAGGGATTTGATCAGGGAAGATGTTTGTTTGCTTTTTGTTGTTTAACGTCCCTCTCGACAATTTTTCACGCGTATGGAGACGCCAACACTTGTTGCGAAGAACTGCCAATTTTTTACCTATGCTCGACACCTAGGGCCAATGAGCAGTGAGGGATCTTTTACGTGCCAGCACCTATTGCGCCACAGGGCCTTGGTTTCTAATCCGAAGGACCGGTCTCTACGTCCCACATAAAATAATGCAAAATTTTCTTTTTCTTTTTTTTTTTTTGAAATTTAATTTGACACATTTTAAAAATTACATGTCTTTTCCTGACCAACTGAATCATGCAGCCTCAAAACAATTTTTAACCACCAGCAGGGAGCTGTTTTTTTAGGTCACCTGAGTAAACTCAGGTGACCTATTGCTATCACTTTTCGTCCGTCGTCGTTCGTCGTGCGTTAACATTTGAACATTTTCAGCTTCTTCTCTGAAACCACTGAACCAATTTCAACCAAATTTGGCATATAGCATCTATGGGTGAAGGGGAACAAAAATTGTGAATTTCATGGTCCCTGCCCCCCCTGGGGCCTGGGGGGTGGGGCAAAAACCACTAAAATTAGTGCAATCTTTAAAAATCTTCTTCTTTACTCCTGGACATCAAGCAGTCAAACTGTTTGCATGATTGTAATCAGCATTGAGTCCTCTACCAAAATTGTGAAATTCATGGCCCCGGGGTCAGGGATTCTAGTGCTAGGGCGGGGCCAAATAAGTATATAGTGAAAATGCATTATTTCTTTGAAAATCTTCTTCTCTGCTACTACTAACCTACTAACTACATAGTTATGATGAGCAAGAGTGCCTCTACCAAAATTGTGAATTTTATGGCCCCAGGGTCAGGGGTTCTGGTGTAAGGGTGGGGCTCTATAGATTATAATAGTGAAATTCGTGAATTCTTTGAAAATCTTCTTCTCTGCTCCTGGGTATTAAATAAACTAACTAAGTGCATAGTTATGATGAGCAAGCGTGCCTCTACCAAAATTGTGAATTTTATGGCCCCAGGGTCAGGGGTTCTGGTGTGTGTGTAGGGGGGGGCTCTATAGATTATATAGTGAAAATACATGAATTCTTTGAAAATCTTTTTCTCTGCTCCTGGGTATTAAATAAATTAAATAAGTGCATAGTTATGATGAGCAAGAGTGCCTCTACCAAAATTGTGAATTTTATGGCCCCAGGGTCAGGGGTTCTGGTGTTAGGGCAGGGCTCTATAGATTATATAGTGAAAATACATGAATTCTTTGAAAATCTTCTTCTCTGCTCCTAGGAATGAAATAAACTAATTACAAAGTTATGATGAGCAAGAATACCTCTTTCAAAATTGTGAATTTTATGGCCCTAGAGTCAGGGGTTCTAGTGATAGGGCGGGGCTCTATTGATTATATAGTGAAAATACATTGAATCTTTGAAAGTTTTCTTCTCTGCTCCTTGGTATTAAACAGATGAACTACCTATGTAGTTATGATGAGCAAGGGTACTTATCTTCCAGAATTGTGAATTTCAAGGCCCCAGGGTCAGGGGTACCATAAAGGAGGGGGGGCTGTACTTATATACTGAAACTGGATGAATTGTTCGAAATATGCTCCTTGGTATTAATCAAATATTTTTGAAAAGCAAGGGTGCCTTTTCAAAAATTGTGCAATGTGTGGATGGCCTAAGGGTCAGGGGTTCATGTGTGATTGGGGCATTACTGATCATGCTGAATATTACTGATTACTTGAAATGCATTTTTTGTTCCCCTACCCTGCCTATGGGTATTAAGTAAACAAACTAAGCAACTGCTAAGTGTATTGTTATGATGATCAATGGGGCCTCTTTCAAAATTGTGAATGCCATAGCATCTGGATTAAAACATGAATCAAATTCTATCACTGGAAAGTTGTTGCATAATGCTCAGGTGACCTATAAGGCCCATGGGCCTCTTGTTTTTTAAACATTCCGAAGTTTTCTAACACATGGATGACTTCTAGTATTTTAACTTCATGTATATCATTCATTTTTTAATATAAAAAGTTCCCATACTTACCTAAACAATATTTTTTTATCTGAGTTTGGAGAGGAAAAGCAAATATTTCTTAAGGAGAGATGATACGTTCCTCAACTCAAAAATATATATATAATATAATTTAAAAAAAAGATTTTGCCATTTAAGTATTACTACTTTAATATGTTTACCCACAAAAAATTGAGGTACCTTACCAGATATTTATGCAAGATAGCAGAGCGTAGTGTTTCTTATATAATCTTTTTGGAGAAAAAAATTAATTGTCCCAAATCAATTTTTTTAGTGTTTTATTTGTATTAGGATGATCAGAAAATGGTTTAGAAATCAGAATATGATTAGATTTTTAAATGTTTTTCAAACTTGACAAAAATATACAAAACAGATATTTGAGGAACGTATCGTCTGACCTTAAGATGGCCTTAGAATACACGATGCAAAACTAAACCATAATGTTCACTATTTTCAGTTTATAGTAAAGTTTACATATTGACTATACCTGGAAAATATAATTGTCAAAATCTGCACATGAAGTGCTGTAGTAGAATCTGTTATGCCTAATGTGACTCTCGGTACGTAAGGTATATTGTATATAAGAGTTCAGGTTACATGTACTACGCAGAAGTTGATTGAATGCAACAGGTTTTGGGTAATTTAAATGGAATTTTTGACATCATGCATTTATTACGACTGGTCTGTGGTCGTGATAACCTGGTGTCAACTAATAATTTAAACTGGACAAAAAGAGAATTTCATATTGACTTATTATACTTCTATTAATTGATATTTCCTTGATGTTACTGTTTAGAGTATTTTATTTTTTTTTCAAAATTTTTCAAATATGTGACTGTCGGCTACAATGTACAAAATGATTCCCAGTATATATCAGTCTTTTATACACAATTGATAAAAGGCTATGTAATTACGAAAGCCGGATAGGCTCATTTCTGAAAAGATAAAAAAAAATTTAACTCGTTATAACGAGTTAATTATCTCGTTATAACGACTTAGTTATCTCGTTATAACGACTTAGTATCTCGTTATAACGGCTTAGTATCTCGTTATAACGAGTTAGTTATCTCGTTATAACGAGTTAATTATGTCGTTATAACGACTTAGTTTTATCTCGTTATTACGAATTACTTATCTCATTATAACGAGTTAGTATCTCGTTATAACGAATTAATTATCTCGTTATAACGAGTTAATGATCTCGTTATAACGAGTTAGTTATCTCGTTATAACGAGTTAATGATAACGTTATAACGAATTAATGATCTCGTTATAACGACTTAGTTATCTCGTTATAACGAGTTAATGATCTCGTTATAACGAGTTAATTATCTCGTTATAACGAGGTAGTTATCTCGATATAACGAGTTAATGATCTCGTTATAACGAGCTAATTATCTCGTTATAACGAATTAGTTATCTCGTTATAACGAATTCATTATCTCGTTATAACGAGTTAATGATCTCGTTATAACGACTTAGTTATCTCGTTATAACGAGTTAGTTATCTTGTTATAACGAATTAGCTTTCTCGTTATATCGAGTTAATTATCTCGTTATAACGAAATAATAAGTTGCCCTTTTATTTCTAAATCAATAGCAATATAGGAATTAAAAATCGCTGTAGTTTTAATGCCATTATTGAAGTTTAGTTGATAATTATCAGTCGTACTTAACTTTAAAATTGATAAAGAGATGCAAATATAATTTGCAATATGGTTTTAATAATATTAATCATGTTCGAACTTCAAGTATCTTGCCGTCAATAATCACAATTTGATAAAAATAGCAATCTTTTAATCGAACACATTTACACATTTATATGTGAACGTCTCTAAGTACACACTATTACAAATATATGGCCAAATGTACTTGCTTCAAAGTTTTGCAATTTAAGTATAACAACTTTCTCCGATAAAATACACTATTTTTAGCTCACCTGAGCCAAAGGCTCAAGTGAGCTTTTCTGATCACAATTTGTCCGTTGTTTGTCGTTGTCGTTGTAGTCGTCGTTGTCGTCGTCGTCGTCGTTGTTGTTGTAAACTTTTCACATTTTCATCTTCTTCTCAAGAACCACTGGGCCAATTTCAACCAAACTTGCCATAAAGTATCCTTAGGTAAAGGGGATTCAGGTTTGTTCAAATGAAGGGCCACGCCCTTTTCCAAGGGGAGATAATTATGAATTAGAGAAAAATTAATGGCATTTTTAAAAAATCTTCTTCTCAAGAACCACTGGGCCAGGAAAGATGACACTCATGTGGAATCATCACCAAGTAGTGTAGATTCAAGTTTGTTCAAATCATGACCCCCGGGGGTAGGGTGGGGCCAAAATGGCCGATCAAAGTTTTACATAGGAATATATAGGAAAAATCTTTAAAAATTTTCTTCTCAAGAACCACTGGGCCAGGAAAGATGAAACTCATGTGGAATCATCACCAGGTAGTGCAGATTCAAGTTTGTTCAAATCATGACCCCCAGGGGTAGTGTGGGGCCAAAATGGCCGATCAAAGTTTTACATAGGAAAATATAGAAAAAATCTTTAAAAATCTTCTTCTCAAGAACCACTGGGCCAGGAAAGATGAAACTCATGTGGAATCATCACCAGTTAGTGCAGATTCAAGTTTGTTCTAATCATGACCCCCGGGGGTAGGGTTGCGCCAAAATGGCCGATCAAAGTTTTACATAGGAATATATAGAGAAACCTTTTAAAATCTTCTTTTCAAGAACTTCAAATCCATGCTTAGTGATATTTATATGGATTCATCCTCAGGTAGTGTAGATTCATGTATGTTCAAACCATGACCCCATATGAGGTTAAAATTCAAGCCCCCCCCCCCCCAAACTCAGTAAACTTTCAGTTCGGATCTGATATATGTGCTTTTCCTAGCAAATTGCTCAGGTGAGCAATGTGGCCCCTGGGCCTCTTGTTAGAATTATTATACATTGAAAAGGGTTTGTTATTTCTTTTTCATTATTTTTACAGATGGTTAATATGAGTGATGTAGTTTCGGAAATACTCCATTGAACTAAATGCGATACGCCTTTCCCTTTTGAATTCCATCTTGGAACTTGGATGTTATCATACCGTCATTACTCCAGATAGGTACTTTTGCTACAACGCCTAAATGCCTAGAACTCTGTGAAACTGGAAACAAGCAGAAAATTTAAAAAACTATATTCAAGTTCTTATTAATTCACCTCTAAACAATGTCTATTTTAATGTGTATTCACTTGAGACTATATTCAATGCGTCATCACATCAGGAGATTCTGTCGTTATTATTCTTTGTTATGGTGAACCCCTGTACAGACTAAATACATTCATTCTTCTCTACTCTGCTCTGTTTTTACTCTAACCAAATTGTTATAATTGGTTCCAATAAAAATGATTCCTTGTAAAGGGAAAACGTTCCAGTTATTTAATTTTTAGGGATGGAAAATCCCTGCTAGTGTTTTTCTTTCATAATAGAGCTCGGTTGTTAGATTACCATTAACGTCTTTTTCAAGTAAAATATCTAAATATTACACAGATTGTCAGACTTGTGGTATCTTTTAGATCAATCTCACCAGGAAATATCGCATCGACATACGAATGGAAATAACCATTGTTAATTGACAATACGTCGTCAATATATCTAAATGTCGAGTTGAAGGCCACAGCAAGTGTTTTCTTCTTTTCATGCATAAGATTTTGCAAAAATGTTGCTTCATATGAATACAAAATTAGGTCTCCTTATAACGGGGCGCAATTGGAACCCATAGGAATTCCAATAGATTGTTGGAAGACCTGTTCTCCAAAAAACAACATAGATATTGTCAATCAGAAACTCGAGCATCTTTTTGATGTTGACTTCAGAGTACTTGTTTGTACAATCAGAATACTTTTTAACAAAATAATTCTGCAAATGACCCATGACCAAGTAAGTAAATTTACGAGTTCCATTTTTATTGAAAAAGCAGCTGTCATTGATATCGAAGAGCCTGGACTTTAATCTATCGTGGGGAATATAACAAGAATTAGAACAGGAAGAACAGAGTCACTGTCACCTGCTTATGATGTTTCTATCCCGCAATGTATTCGCTTATCGAGAACTTACTCTGAGTATGATCAATTTTTAAATTAAATGCTTTTCAATTAATTGTATCCTCATTGTTCGGAATTAAACAAAAAATTATTTTCAGTGGATCTGCCTTAATGACTTAATAATACCTTGAATACTCTCCTTTAATTAAAGATTTTATCCAAATTACTAATTCTTTTTTAAGACACATCTTTCTGAGTATGCCCTTTGTGTATTGGAATACGATATTCATTATTCTAGAGATTACAAGGTTTGACGGATTGCTCATTATCTTCAACTTTTTTCAACTATTTAAATAGGGCATAAAACACAACCTCATGAAATTCCAAAGGTGAAACAAATGTCGAAAAACAGTCTAAGCATCCCTTGTCGACCGTTTACACCCGCCAAGATCCTTATGAAGAGATCAGACAGACGAAATATTCTGTAGCTAAATTTATTACGAACCAAAGGCCTATTAATTGTTTGGAGATATCTCACTCATTTATCGTTTCGTTGTATACTCTATCTGACATAATTCATACATGTAACTATTTGTTATTTTCGTGCTAAATCTGAGTCCAAAACATTTAACTGCGTCTACCTGATCAAGTTCACAGCGAGTTTTACACATCTATTAGATATACTCACTCCTCCTACATAAACAACTGGTCCCAACATCTGGTGTTTACCAAGGTGAATTTTTGTCCTAGATTTGTCCCAACTATATATCGAGTCGACATATCTATCAAAGTAACTACTGTTCTTGATTAATGTTGGGTTGAAAGCCATAGCAGGAGTTCTTTTTTTTCTTAAAGGTCTGCTTCAAGTCGGTTAATAAAGATGAAGTGTTTGGAGATATCGAACAGTATTAATTCAAGCTCAAAAGTCCATAAAATAATACAAAATAGGAACAAAGCCAACACGGACCTCCAAAAATCAGAGGTGGGATAAGGTACCATTGAGGAGTGAGCATTCCCTACCAACCAATCGCAACCGCAGTGTGCTCCTTGTCATAATCAAGAAATAATGGGAAAATCCAGTGTATGAATAAAGGCCTGACAATTAGTATTAAAAACGTCAGTCAGCATTTGACTTAATGATAAGTTGTACTTGTTGACAAGGTCAATGTATGGACCATAGACCTTACGAAATGATGACTTTAAACGAGACTGCTGATATTCTTGTTTCATCAACTTGTTTGTCAATAATTTACCTCGTTTTAGAAATTGTTCATACGTAGAGCATGCAATTGCGTATCAAATCAACTGACTCAAGTGATGAAGGTATATTGCTGCATAAGTAAGGTAAATTGAAGATTGAAAAGTTAATTTAAAAGTCATCACGTTTATCATAAAGATTGATTATTCGATTACCATGAACGACAAGAAAAATATCCAAATATAAAACAGACTCTGTGGTATCTTTTATCTCAAGTTCACCGGGATATATAACGCATCGACATAAGAACAGAAAAAAAACACTGTTGATTGGTAATAAGTCGTCGATAAAGGAGTACAATTAATGTCCATCTTAAATTAAGATCCTGTTTCTAAATACTAAAAGAATTTTTGTCAACCAGGAACCCTTGCATCGTTTAAAAATAAACTTCAAAGTACTTTTATGCAACAGAGGTATCAAGAACCTCTGACACGAATCTTGTATTTTCGTGCAGTATTGTAAGGATATAAACAAACTTTTATTTATAAAGAACATGAAATGAAAATTATTTTATATAAGTAGAATACATAAACCCAGACACATAAAATTTCGTTTAAATTCAAAAGTTTTAAAGAGCTAAAATAATTTAACAGGGGTTGTGGCAAAAAAGAAAGAATTGAGTATTTTAAATCTTCGATAAAAGACCCGAAATAAATCTAAAAATAATTATATCTCCACGAACCAACATATCGTTTGTGTTTTGTTTGTACCATGTGTCCTTAGCACTAGGTTTTCTAAAGTACAAATTTTAAAATCACTCAAGATATTGACAACGATCAAAAATTACTAAAGGTACATATATTTAATTTGTGTACATATTGGTAAACAGCGTCTTCACTTAAGGTGGGAGAGCACAGTTAGGGTTTGACATACAGTTATGCCAGTACTCCCTCTGTTGCTTCACCCAGGTGGCGTTGTAACAGCGAGCCTGTGGGCAGCACACCCCGGACATCGGTGTATAGCACTCGTAGCCTATAACATAAGGAACATTGATATATAACAGCCGTAGGCGTAGCCTATATCATAAGGAACATTGGCGTATAACACTCGTAGCCTATAACCTAAGGAACATAAGTGTATAATTCTCGTAGCCTATAACGTAAGGAACATTGGTGTATAATACTGATAGTCTATATCATAAGGAACATTGGAATATAACACTCGTAGTCTATAACATAAGGAACATTGGTATATAACAGCCGTAGCCTATAACGTAAGGAACATTGGTGTATAATACTGGTAGTCTATATCATAAGGAACATTGGTATATAATCACAGGCGCTTGTTTCATACAGTGAGCTTAGTTTTCTACTATATAATAACACAAGGTATCCATCTTTCTCGAGACCAAATATGTAGGTCACCAATTCAAACCCCTTTTTTATTTATTATACGCGACTGGCAACAAAAAACCCACATGTAATGGTTAGCGGAATCCCCCTTCTTGGACCTAATGTATATTTCCTTACCTCACCCCCTCGCGAACTTTGACATTGACCATAAAATTACACGCTTCGTCAATCGAGAGAAAAAGTACATCTCTAAACAGCTCAGCACTTCCGGTTTGGCAATCGCGATATAAAACACAAGATCTCATTGGCTACTGGTACATTTTGCACTGGTGTAGAGAGGATCCTTAACAAAATATTTTTGCTTTAATAATAACTATCAAATCATCACATTACATGTGGGTTTTTTGTTGCCAGTTGCGTATAATAAATAAAAAAGGGGTTTGAATTGGTGACCTACATATTTGGTCTCGAGAAAGATGGATACCTTGTGTTATTATATAGTAGAAAACTAAGCTCACTGTATGAAACAAGCGCCTGTGCCTGTATGTACATCCTTGATCAGTGGATGTTCCGTCAATGAAACGTACTAAGACGTACATATCAATAATGCGATAATTAATATTTTAATCCTACTTTAAAATATAATTCATACGGATATAAACATAAACAATAAAACTTCTTTCGTTGGTTTTTAGTATGGGAATGAATGTCGCGGCTATTGCAAAAAAAAAAAAAAACATTGCACAATCCGCTTGCACGGGTTGTGTATTTTTTCTGCAACAGCTGCGACACTTATTCCCGTGTAACAATCATTTAGGAGAGTGTGATTTGAATGGTTAGCTTACCATTCCAACTCCTTTCTTAATAGCATGTATGTATTTGAATTATAAACTATACATTACACCCCACTCCATCCTTCCCCTCTGAGTATCTCGGGCTTGCCTTGGACTATTGATTACCTGGTTCACATTTACAGTAATGTGAGTCACATGCTTCGTGTTCACGTGACAACTGTGATGTACACTGCCCTGAACGGTCCATTATTAACCCTCCGCCTACAACAAATCAAAATACTTATTATAAGTCTCTTATACAAAAAGAACATATCTGGATTAACCTTGTCGTCCCTTTGCATATGTTATACAATGGTTTAGAGCTTTTTCTGAGATAAACATTTGCTTAATTTTGGAGGCCACCTGGCCATCTTGTCGCCTTTTTCAATAAAGTTGAACATCGTTAATTTACAGTTAAATATTGAAAAGATGTGCGACATTAACATGAAAAAAGCTTATGTTTCAATTTTATATTATGTTTCTTTATCTGATTTTTATTAATAAAAAATCTACTGATCTGTGATATTATTAGTAGAATGTTGATAGAAATTTACATCTTCTTTCCTTTTTTGGACAGAATTGACTTTGCTTAACTAATTTGAAAACCTTAATAGGTCATTGAAAGGTAACAACCTTTTTTACAACATTTTGACTAAAACTCTTAAATAAAGAACTGCGTTCAATAGCGTACTTGCATCAGTTAACAGAAGTAGACAGAATACTGTCTTGCGATTTTCTTGATCAATTTCATGAAAATAAATCTTTGGCAATAAGTTTAACAAGAGGCCCATGGGCCACATCGCTCACCTGAGAAGCTTTGACCATTCTGTTCTTTACTAGATTTCCCCCTTGTAATACATATCGTGACCCCACCCTAAACCACTGATCATAATTTAGACAATTTGAAACTACACTACCCCAGGATGCTTCCACATAAGTTTCAGCTTTTCAAAGATTGTCCAATATATTTCTATGTAAAACTTTGATTCCCCATTGTGGCCCCGCCCTAACCCCCGGGGGTCATGATTTGTACAATTTAGAATCTACACTACCCCAGGATGCTTCCACATAAGTTTAAACTTTCAAAGATTGTCCAATATACTTCTATGTAAAACTTTGATTCCCCATTGTGGCCCCGCCCTAACCCCCCCCCGGTCATGATTTGAACAATTTAGAATCTACACTACCCCAGGATGCTTCCATATAAGCTTCAGCTTTTCTGGCCCAGTGGTTATTAAGAAGAAGATTTTTCCTATATATTTCTATGTAAAACTTAGATTCCCCATTGTGGCCCCGCCCTAACCCCCGGGGATCATGATTTGTACAATTTAGAATCTACACTACCCCAGGATGCTTCCACATAAGTTTCAGCTTTTCTGGCCCAGTGGTTCTTGAGAAGAAGATTTTTAAAGTTTTTTCCTATATATTTCTATGTAAAACTTGGATTCCCCATTGTGGCCCCGCCCTACCCCCGGGGGTCATGATTCACATAAGTTTAAACTTTCAAAGATTGTCCAATATATTTCTATGTAAAACTTTGATTCCCCATTGTGGCCCCGCCCTAACCCCCCCCCCCCGGTCATGATTTGAACAATTTAGAATCTACACTACCCCAGGATGCTTCCATATAAGCTTCAGCTTTTCTGGCCCAGTGGTTATTAAGAAGAAGATTTTTCCTATATATTTCTATGTAAAACTTAGATTCCCCATTGTGGCCCCGCCCTAACCCCCGGGGATCATGATTTGTACAATTTAGAATCTACACTACCCCAAGATGCTTCCACATAAGTTTCAGCTTTTCTGGCCCAGTGGTTCTTGAGAAGAAGATTTTTAAAGTTTTTTCCTATATATTTCTGTGTAAAACTTGGATTCCCCATTGTGGCCCCGCCCTACCCCCGGGGGTCATGATTTGAACTATTTAGAATCTACACTATCCCAAGATGCTTCCACATAAGTTTTAGCTTTTCTGGCCCAGTGGTTATTAAGAAGATTTTTCCTATATATTTCTATGTAAAACTTAGATTCCCCATTGTGGCCCCGCCCTAACCCCCGGGGGTCATGATTTGTACAATTTAGAATCTACACTACCCCAGGATGCTTCCACATAAGTTTCAGCTTTTCTGGCCCAGTGGTTCTTGAGAAGATTTTAAAAGTTTTTTCCTATATATTTCTATGTAAAACTTGGATTCCCCATTGTGGCCCCGTCCTACCCCCGGGGGTCATGATTTGTACAATTTAGAATCTACACTACCCCAGGATGCTTCCATATAAGTTTCAGCTTTTCTGGCCCAGTGGTTCTTGAGAAGAAGATTTTTAAAGTTTTTTCCTATATATTTCTATGTAAAACTTAGATTCCCCATTGTGGCCCCGCTCTACCCCCGGGGGTCATGATTTGAACAATTTAGAATCTACACTATCCCAAGATGCTTCCACATAAGTTTCAGCTTTTCTGGCCCAGTGGTTCTTGAGAAGAAGATTTTTAAAGTTTTTCCTATATATTTCTATGTAAAACTTGGATTCCCCATTGTGGCCCCGCTTAACCCCCGGGGGTCATGATTTGTACAATTTAGAATCTACACTACCCCAGGATGCTTCCACATAAGTTTCAGCTTTTCTGGCCCAGTGGTTCTTGAGAAGAAGATTTTTTAAAGATTTTTCCTATATATTTCTATGTAAAACTTGGATTCCCCATTGTGGCCCCGCCCTACCCCCGGGGGTCCTGATTTGAACAATTTAGAATCTACACTATCCCAGGATGCTTCCACAGAAGTTTCATCTTTCCTGGCCCAGTGGTTCTTGAGAAGAAATTTTTTAAAGATTTTTCCCGATGTATTCCTATGTAAAACTTTGATCTCCTGATTTGGCCCCGCCCTACCCCTGGGGGTCATGATTCACATAAGTTTAAACTTTCAAAGATTGTCCAACATATTTCTATGTAAAACATCGATTCTCAATTGTGGCCCTGCCCTCCCCCCTCCCTTCCCCCTCCCCCGGTCATGATTTGAACAATTTCGAATCTACACTACCCAGGATGCTTCCACATAAGCTTTAGCTTTTTTGGCCCAGTGGTTATTAAGAAGAAGATTTTTCCTATATATTTCTATGTAAAACTTAGATTCCCCATTGTGGCCCCGCCCTAACCCCCGGGGATCATGATTTGTACAATTTAGAATCTACACTACCCCAAGATGCTTCCACATAAGTTTCAGCTTTTCTGGCCCAGTGGTTCTTGAGAAGAAGATTTTTAAAGTTTTTTCCTATATATTTCTATGTAAAACTTGGATTCCCCATTGTGGCCCCGCCCTACCCCCGGGGGTCATGATTTGAACTATTTAGAATCTACACTATCCCAAGATGCTTCCACATAAGTTTCAGCTTTTCTGGCCCAGTGGTTATTAAGAAGAAGATTTTTCCTATATATTTCTATGTAAAACTTAGATTCCCCATTGTGGCCCCGCCCTAACCCCCGGGGATCATGATTTGTACAATTTAGAATCTACACTACCTCAGGATGCTTCCACATCAGTTTCAGCTTCTTTTCTGGCCCAGTGGTTCTTGAGAAGAAGATTTTTAAAGATTTTTCCTATATATTTCTATGTAAAATTTGGATTCCCAATTGTTGCCCCGCCCAATCCCCGGGGGTCATGATTTGAACAATTTAGAATCTACACTACCCTAGGATGCTTCCACGTAAGTTTCAGCTTTCCTGGCCCAGTGGTTCTTGAGAAGAAGATTTTTTAATGAACCCACCCTATTTTTGTCTTTTCTTGATTATCTCCCCTTGTTAAGGGATTTGGCCCTTCATTTTAACAATTTAAATTCCCCTTCACCCAAGGATGCTTTGTACCAAGTTTGGTCAAAATTGGCCCTGTGGTTCTTGAGAAGAAGTCGAAAATGTGAAAAGTTTACGGACGGACAGACGGACGGACGGACGGACGATGGACACAATGTGATCAGAAAAGCTCACTTGAGCCTTCGGCTCAGGTGAGCTAAAAAGTGTTTCTAATCTAATTTCTTTAAAGAATATATATACTGTTAAAGGCGTTATTACGCCTTTTCGAAAGGCGTTATAACGCCTTTTAATTTTTTTTCTCTCTAGATTGATCCTAATAGGCTTTCGTACTGTTGAAATTTGAAATAAGTTGTATTCTCTATTACATGTTGTTCGTTTCCTCTAAATTTCTTCTCACGACTCTATGTAATATCATCGTGAACCCATGAAATATTTATCAAACAATTCGTTGGCAAATTATTCATCACATTACTTTCCAGATATCAAGCTTTATTTCAATTTCTCAATACAAACTTACCAAAATGTCAAAAACCTTCCGAATGCAGTATATAACGGCTGGCCGGCAATTTTTTTCTATTAAATATTCTTTTCCAGATAACTAGCTTTATTTCAACTTCTCAATACAAACCTACCAAAGTGCCCAAAACCTTCCGAATGCAATAAAGGCTGACCAGCCATGTTCCTACAGCACGTTGCTGTCTTGGGACAGTCGTTCCCAAAATGACAGCTCTGGGCATTGATACTGAACACAACACATAATAAAACCTGTTGAAAGTATATGCTTTATTAACTTTCTTTAAACATCACAAAAAATTGTCTGAAGATAGATATAACATTTTGTATTATACATGTATTAAGTCGTAAAGAAAGACTTACCAGAAACACATACATATTTCCAGTAATACCAGCAAGGTATTGATAAGTTCTTATCACACCACCACGTATATGATAGTCACAATACGTTAGTTAACTCAATATCGAAATCTACAAACATCTACTTTTTAAAAACATATCAATAAAATCACTTTAACAAATGCATATCATCGGGACATAATACGCCCATCCCTTTTTCCCAACTTATTTTTGGTAAAACCAATTATTGTTTAAGAGTTAAGAGTGTTCATAAAACGACTAACAACCATCTAGATAGCATTGAAAGATTTGATATGAAAGAATAATACGTACTTTAACTGCACTCTTAAAAATCAAATCAGTTGAATACAAGTAGAAATTTAGGTGGTTGAAACATCTGTATCCATGGCGTATATCACATTAGCTTCGTCGCAGTAGTCTTGCAACAATTTTTCATTATTTATATTTGAGCTTAAGATTAAAGACTCCACAGAGCCTGGAAATCATACAATTAATTTGTATCACAAAAGAGATGACCAGTCTTCCACTATCTCCTGCTGAAGGTATTCATCTCTCCCAACTTATTCGCCTCTTAAGAGCTAACTCTGAGCACGATGAATTTTTAAAGCGATGCAGGCTATTCACTGATAAGTTGATGTTACAGCGATTTTAACAAGCTCATTTAAAGTTGGCATTTCATATAATTCATGTTCGTTATAATGAACTGTTAGCATTCATGGCCTATTATTGGGTGTGTTTTCTTTTTTTTGGGGGGGGGCTGTTTTGTTTGATACTTATTGGAAGGCCTTTGTTTTTAATATACTAAATTGACAACGGAAAGTTCCAACTACCTGATCAATACGCACAGCGGGTGTGACCCGTCAACAGGGGATACTTACTACTCTTAGGTATCTAATCCCACTCTCGAATTTCCCTTCACATTGTTCATATACTAGTATTGAGATAGATCGCTGTTCTTTATCTTCACGTTTTACTTTTCTATGTCTGTTTGGGTATCTCTCACTCAATCATTTGCTGTTTTGTATATGTACTGCCTGTTAGTGGATACTTTTCTGATTTTGGTTGCTCGTTAAATTCTGTCAGCTTTCGTTAAGATTTAATTGATCTGGAGGACCTGATGAATAAATAATTCGGTAATGTGAAACGTTAATTAATGAGAGGCGTAACAACCAAGATTTTCAATCAGGTCAGCTTAAAATTCGTCACGATTAGCCACGAAATAACAGAGAACATCTGTGTCGAGTGCTTACGGCACCTGCAACAATTGATTGTTTATCTATGTATTGCTGAAACATTTTGTTTTTTAAAATGTACATCAAATTTCATCAGATTTTAATTGAAGCAAAATGTTACATTCACAAGGTAGCGCAACAGGCAGGACGAAGAGAGGACATAGCATGTTACCTTGTATTCTGGTAATATTATATTTTGTAATGTTTGTTGATATGTATTGATTTAATAAGTTACCCTAATGTTTGTAAAGTTTTATTGAATCCATTTGATTGGAATAATTGCTATATATGGACATCAATAACAAATTAAAAAAAACGATGAAAACCATCCCAAAGAGTAATACTAGTAAGCGTTTTTATCATAAAAATGCAACTCGAATACTTACTTACCTTATCATTGGTCATTTGCAAAATTATTTTCTTAAAAAAACATTCTGATTGTAAACGCAAGTGCTCTTAAGTCGAGATAAAAAAGATGCTAGAGTTTCTGATTAACAATGTCTTTGTGGTTTTGGAGACCAAGTCGATCTTCCAACAATCTACTAGTATTGGAATTCCCATGGGTACTAATTGCGCCCCATTATTAGCAGATCTATTTTTGTATTCATATGAATTTTGTCCAAAAACTTATACATAAAAAGAAGAAGAAACTTACTGTGGCCTTCAACTCGACATTTAGATATATCGACAACGTAATTGCCAATTAACAATGGTTATTTCATTCTTATGTCGATACGATAGATTCCCGGTGAGCTTGAGATAAAATATATCTCAGAATCTGACACATCTGTTTCATATTTTGATACTAGTATTTCACTTGAAAAAGACATTAATGGTAATCTAACAACCAAGCTCTATTATAAACGTGATGACTTTAACTTTACAATCGTCAACTTCCCTTACTTATGCAGCAATATACCTTCAGCATCTGCATACAGAGTTTATATCTCTCAGTTGATTCGATAGCAAGAGCATGCTCCACGTATGTACAATTTCTAAAAGGAAGTAAATTATCGACAAACACGTTGATGAAACAAGAATATCAGCAGTCTCGTTTAAAATAATCATTTTGTAAGTTCCATGGTTGATACAATGACCTTGTCAGCAAATACAATTTATCATTGAGGTAAATGCTGACTGACGTTTTTCACATAAGTTAGTCCATTATTTACACACTGAACTGACGACGGATGTTTTCGTTATTTCCCGATCATGACAACTTGAGGAGCACACGGCGGGTGTAACCGGTCAGCAGGGGATGCTCACTCCTCCATGGCTTCTGATCCCACTTCTGATGTTTTGTAGGCTCGTGTTTGCTCTGCTCCTATTTTGTATTATTAAATGGACATTTGAGCTTGAATTCTGTTTGCTATCTCCATATATTTCATAACCATCCATGCCATCGTCATCTGAATGATTGTAAATGAGGAGAAATTAAATTTCTCCATATTCCTAGTCAACAATTTATTATCTGTTAGAGGTTTTGATTTGTTTAACATTGAAGATGGAAGCACAGCTGTGTCAAGATGGATCTCAATGTCCACAAACAGCCCCGTTCTGCAGAAACAGTAATGGCCAAGCCCTTCCCCATCAGAAGGTATATTTATTTATACGAATGATGGTGTTTGTACATAAGGTATCAACGCACGCCCTTTTCATACTATGAGCCTTTCTGATTCAAAGTCTGACCGTGTGCGACAGCCACAGGGTAGCAGGAGCAATGAAAATGTCTGGGCTGGACCAGAATCTGTCATTCCTTCAATAGAAATACATGTAATATATATTGGAGATTTCCTCAAGGATCTATGATCTGTAGTTCCTTTAATTGATTAGCAAATATCCTCAAATATTGATTGATTGACTGACAGATTGATATTTTGCGTCTCGTTCGAGATTTTTTTTCTTATAAAGACTTCTATTGAAGAATAAAGTTCTTCAATATGGGACCAGAATTTGGAACGTACTATATCGATTCCTTTAAAATGTAACTAGGCTTGCTACGTAATCATAGTGCGTCAATATACTTTAGATTAAAGTATAATAGCCATAAAGTTTTGAAGCCACAATAATGTGTTTCTTAATAATAATTACAAGAATGGGTGTTTCTAGTCTCATTCTTAATTATAATTACAGGAATGGATTGGATCGAACCAAAAACTGGGTTTTGCTCATCACGTCTGGCAAGTCAACACGAAACATGCAGCCCTTCTTGTGCATGTGCACCGGGTACTTACAAGCTCTTTTTTCATAGACATTTTTTGTCGATTAAAAACATAAATGAAATTAACTGCAACACTGTCCCCATTTATTACACAATTGTTAAAAGCTTGATATATTTTTGAAAATTTCAGTGAGCAAACTGAATGTGTGACTAAGTGATTGCTTCCTTTGGAGATTTTTTTGTAGGATTTGAATGTTACAGGCCTCTGTCAGGCGCTTGTTGTCCGCCATTTTCTTGTTATAACGCCACCTGGGTAAAGGAAATAACCGAATTTTGGGACATGTGCTTCAAAGACCCATCCTGTCCTCTACCCCAATAAGATGACTCATTTTCTGTTGGATTTTCCAAGAACTCTATTTTCAATATAGCTGTAGCGTTGTTGTTTTTTCAAGCAGCTGTGCTTATTCAGAATTTGCAATCATGCAGAGGTTGACATTTTCTCTACTGAACAGTTGAGGGAGAGTATTAAAACGAGCCATCAACTTCTCAGTAAAGAATAAGATTGGCAACCCTCGCATATCTCGGACTCTAACATCCGACTGAGGTAAAATATGCGTACAAGGAATTCTTGTGATGGGGTATAACGGTCTCAAAACAAGAGGCCCAGGGGCCACAGCGCTCACCTGAGCACATCGGCTAGGAAAAAGCACATATCAGATCAGAACTGAAAGTTTACTGAGGTGGGGGGGGGGGGGGGGGGGCTTGAATTTTAACCCCCCAGGGATTCATGATTTGAACAAACTAGAATCTACACTACCTATATAAATATCACTAATCCTAGCTTTGAAGTACTTGAAAAGAAGATTTTAAAAGGTCTCCCTATATGGGTCATTCTCAAAAAATGTCCAGATTTCAGTTACACAAGTTTTCTGATAAATATTTTAATAAAATACAAACTTTTTCTGTGCTGATGAACTTATCAATGATCTAAAAGTAAGAGAACAAATTTAAGTACGATTAAAAATTGATATAAATGCTGAAAAAATCCTTCAACATGAGTAAAATTAAAGAAAATTGCTTGTGATTTCGCCGAGGGTGAATTTTCAACCCTCTTTATTGAGACAGTAAATATAATTTGGGAGTATAAATTACCTTTAATGTATTTGTAAATACTTAACTTTGTTTAAAAACATGCTAAAAGGTAACTGAAAAAAGTAAGAATATCAATTTTTAAACAATAAACGTTAAAAAAAACTTTGTGATTTTCGCCGTGTCCTTGGAGTAACCAAGACATAAAAGTTATCTGTAACAGTTATTGTTCTTGAAGGAGGTCTTCAGCATCAGCTGCCTTCTAAAGATATTGTACCCGCCAAAATATAAAAAGACACAAAACACATGTGTTTCACCTCGTAGACACAATATTTGGTTTCAGTTGAGGTTGGTTGAAAGAGTATTTTATTTTTAGGTCCTTGGAGTTACTTAAATAATGCGAAGATAAATTAATATTTTATGTGTGTGATGCATTGAGCGACTTTGAAGTGAAATGCACATGATGTAGAAGCTGTGCTCTATCTTTTTAATTCAGCCATTGCTTTTATACTTGTAACTTTTGATATAGTAATTCCCTGGCGTTACTGTCCATTTTGTTACTGTAGGAAAAGTTACTCGAAGGACATATTTAATTACTCTATGGACAATCTGTA